ATGAATCTATGAATCTATAAGTCTGGCCAGACAGCTCTGCCTAACAGAGAATGGGAGCATAAGGTACCCAAACTACAACTCCCATGAGGCAGTGTGGTTCCATTTTCAATCAGAATGTTTTGGTTTTTGATAATGCACTGAAAAGCCAAAAATGAATAATAATAACGAATGCTCTTTGGCTAGTGAAGAGTTCATGGGACAGGCATTCTCCACAGGCCAAGGACATTCTTAATTAGCCAAAGAACATTTGTCATGTTCATTTACATGCTGTTCACTAGGTGCATGGACAATATCTAATCGTATGTAGATTAGTAGGTACATTTACAGAGGATGAGACAGTCCCCTTACAAGGAACCCTGGATAAGAGGCAGCCTAAGGAAGGAGTTTTGTGACCCTAACTTCTCTGATGTGAATTTCCATGTGACCTACTAGCAAGTCCTTACAGGCTAGAGACCGACTGGCTAAGTGGCAGTTTGGCAGAATAGAGCCTGGGGATTACAGTGGACGAGAAGCTGGATATGAGTCAGCATAGAAGAAGGCTAATGGCATATTGGGCTGCATTAGTAGGAGCATTGCCAGCAGATCGAGGGAAGTGATTATTCCCTTCTATTCGACACTGGTGAGGCCACATCTGGAGTATGGCATCCAGTTTTTGGCCCCCCGCTACAAAAAGGATGTGGACAAATTGGAGGAGTCCAGCGGAAGTCAACAAAAATGATTAGGAGTCTGGGGCACATGATTATGAGGAGAGAGTGAGGGAACTGGGCTTATTTAGTCTGCAGAAGAGAAGAGTGAGGGGGGGATTTGATAGCAGACTTCAACTACCTGAAGGGGGGTTCCAAAGAGGATGGAGCTAGGCTGTTCTCAGTGGCGGCAGATGACAGAACAAGGAACAATGGTCTGAAGTTGCAGTGGGAGAGGTTTAGGTTGGATATTAGGAAACACTATTTCACTAGCAGGGTGGTGAAGCACTAGAATGGGTACCTAGAGAAGTGGTGGCATCTCCATCCTTTGAAGTTTTTAAGGCCTGGCTTGGCAAAACCCTGGCTGGGATGATTTAGTTGGTGTTGGTCCTGCTTTGAGCAGGGGGTTGGACTAGATGACCTCCTGAGGTACCTTCCAACCCTAATCTTCTATGATTCTACTAAATATTAGATCTGGTTTGATGAATGCATCAGTAAAAAGCTATGATAGAACTGGTTGGAAAACAGGGATTTTTCCTGTGGAAAATTTTGGGTTTACCCTGTGCAGGACCGAGACACACTCTTGCAAGCAAGGTCAGATTAATCTTCAGAAATGGACAAAGCAGGACAAGTAGAGTGAGTGGCTGTGGGTGAGATCTTTCCAGGCCTCTGTGTTTATTCTACAGCTACCTCATGTAACTAGATGCACAGCCAGTATATTTATAGCCATGATGTCGTCCTTGGGACTGTCCTTTGACCTTAATAATCTGCTGAATTAATCATTGAAAGGGGGCCCAAGAAGTGATGATATACAAGCCTCTGACATGATTTATTCTTAGTCTTGTTGGAGGAGGTGGTTTAATAAGCTGATAGAGCCAAATCCTTCCTTGATGTATCTTTTTTGAAAGGTATGGAGTTACAGCAGGGATGACCTTGGCCCTTAGCTTTCATTTCAACACTGAGTTACATAGGAGAGGGGAGAAGGTGTTTACATTTGTCTCCAATGTGTTTTCTTTAAAGATAAATTAGCTTGGAGGAGTTCCAGTCTCACAGTTAATGCCTGCACATTGCTAAAATTCCCATTTTACAGCAAAACAGCTTAAGAGCCCTTGTATAGCTAGAATAGAAGCTGCTGCTATAATTAAGCGAGAAATACATCTATTAGAAAAATCCTTTTTCAGCAGCACATTGTTACTTTCTCATACACACACTTTTGGTGCTGAGATTGATCATGTCCAATCTCTGTACAGAGATGATGTTTTTTAAAAAATGTTCAGCAAAATCAATTTGTCCATTTTTGAATTCTATGTATCGGGGGTGGGGGGATACATTTTCCCCATATGATTCAATCCTTTGGGTGGTCAGAACTCAACCATGCCTGTATTGCATTTGTTTAAGCACAGTGTGTTTTGCAGAGATTAAATGTATGCTTAAATCTACTGTTAAGGTTTAGCTGTCTTCAGAGGACCGTGGGGTGGGTTAGTTTTGGTGGATGGGCAGGTGTGAATAGATGAGAACTGAACTTAAAAGGACTTGACGAAATGGGTGAATGTTTTAGGAAGACTAAGGACCCGTGAAAACATTATGTTCACCATTGTGCCAAGCAAAAGACTCCCTGCTTTGTAGGAATGAGCACAAGTCTGGGACTTAGGTGGTCCCAAGTTCTAGTCTATTGTCAGGGACTTGTCACTTAAACATTTCTTAATTAGGCCTCCCAGCGTTCCTAGGCTGTATGCAAATATGGTTACCTACAGATGGGTAAACTGAGCCCAGACAGGTTGGGTGATTTTCCCAAGGCAAGGGCATAGCGACTGGAGGGAGACATGTCCCCCTCCAACATTTTACTATCCCGTTGATGGACAAGGTGGGTGAGGTAATATATTTTATTGGACCATCTTCTGTTGGTGAAAAAGACACGTTTTTGAGTTACACAGGACTCAAAAGCATGTCTCTTTCACCAGCAGAAGTTGGTCCAATAAAAGATATTACCTCATCCACCTTGTTTCTGTAATATCCTAGGACTAACACAGCTACAACAACACTGTAAATATCCTGTTGATGGTCATTTGTGGCCAATCTTGTCAGCTAACTTGATTCTTCCCAATCATGCCTGAACATGATAAAGTGCTATAATGAAGACAAGCCCCCACAGGGAAACTTGATAGAGCCATTCAAAGTTAAGAGTTTAGTACAAGACCCTGTCCCACTGACCAAAACCAAAAAGGCATGCCATGAAGTTAATGACCAGTAAATGCAGGCCACCTGTGAAACTCCCTGCCACTGGGGATCACAGAGTTAATCATCTGGATAATTTTCTGTCTGGTAATGATATTTCTAGGTTTGCATGTTAAGCTTAGTCAGAGCTCATGCATTAGACTGTAAGCTGATTGCAGCAGGGGACAGGGGAGAATTTCCATCTGTGCTGACACTACCATCAAATTCTGTACAGCACTGCAAAACTGACTATGCACAATGAGGCGTTTCCTTTTCAGTGTCAAGTATACAATTGTGATGGAGACAAGAAAGTGGATTTGATGGACTAATGGCGTGATCCAGCGATCCTCCTGGTGGTGCTATACCTGGCTTTTAAATGATTTTCTTGTACTCCACAGGGCCCTGGGAAAGCTGGCACTGAGTGTGCCCTCGACTGTGGTTCTGGGATTGGACGGGTCACTAAGCATGTCCTCTTGCCAGTTTTCAAGAGTGTGGAACTGGTGGATATGATGGAGAATTTCCTGGCTGAGGCCCAGAACTATTTACAGGGCAAGAAGGACAGAGTAAAGATGTACTATTGCTACAGCCTCCAGGAATTCACTCCAGCCCCCCAAAAATATGATGTCATCTGGATACAGTGGGTTTCAGGTTAGCTCACCATGAATTTATATACATAATGAACCATACATATATTGCATTAAAATACATGTTCAAAGAATGTTGAGGTTGCAGAGTCAGGTACTCAAAAGTTAGGAAATGCCTGAATTAAGGTTGCCAGGGCATGGGCACTGGCAGAGGTGGGGCACTGAGAACACAGGAAATACAGTTTCCTTGTTTTCAGTTCTAGTGCACCATTGGGGTCCCCAGCTGCCAGGAGGAGCAACTGCAGGAAAATACTTTTGCACCCCAGCAGCCCTGGAAAGGCACATGCTCAGTCACTGTGGGTATGGCACATTGTAATCTGGTCATCATGTTTATTATGGTAGTGCCTAAGGACCAAGCAAAATGGAGCTCCATTGTGCTAGGTGCTGTACAAACACAATGCATTAGATCAGGGGTCGGCAACGTTTGGCACGCGTCTCAACAGGGTAAGCACCCTAGCGGGCCGGGCCACTTTATTTACCTGCTGACGCGGCAGGTTTGGCCGATTGCGGCCCCCACTGGGAGGAGATGGCAAGAGGGTCTGTTTTGGAGTGAAGCAGAGTAGAAGAGCTTGGCTTGTTTAGCCTAACCAAAAGAAGGCTGAGGAGAGATATGATTGCTCTCTATAAATATATCAGAGGGATAAATATCAAGGAGGGAGAGGAATTATTTAAGCTTAGTACCAATGTGGACACAAGAACAAATGGATATAAACTGGACATTAGGAAGTTTAGACTTGAAATTAGATGAAGGTTTCTAACCATTAGAGGAGTGAAGTTCTGGAACAGTCTTCCAAGGGGAGTAGTGGGGACAAAAGACATATCTGGCTTCAAGACTAAGCTTGATAAGTTTATGGAGGGGATGGTATGATGGGATAGCCTAATTTTGGCAATTAATTCATCTTTGATTATTAGCAGGTAATTAGGCCCAATGGTCTGTGATAGGATGTTAGATGGGGTGGGATCTGAATTGCTACAGAGAATTCTTTCCTGGGTGCTAGCTGGTGAGTCTTGCCCATATGCTCAGGGTTTAACTGATCACCATATTTGGGGTGGGGAAGGAATTTTCCTCCAGGGCAGATTGGCAGAGGCCCTGGAGGTTTTTCACCTTCCTCTGCAGCGTGGGGCATGGGTCACTTGCTGGAGGATTCTCTGCACCTTGAGGTCTTTAAACCACGATTTGAGGACTTCAATAACTCAGACATAGGTTAGGGGTTTGTTACAGGAGTGGGTGGGTGAGATTCTGTGGCCTGCGTTGTGCAGGAGGTCAGACTAGAATCATTAGATGATCATAATGGTCCCTTCTGACCTTAAAGTCTATGGGTCTATAAGTCTATGAGAAGAAACTGAGGCAGGAGGATCAGCCAATCGGAGCAGGGCAGAGAAAGAATGTTCAAAGATCCCTGCTGTGGCTGCTTCTGTTCTTATAACAGGAGCTCCCTGAAGATGGAGCAGGCTTGGTGCAGATGGACTCCGCAGAGAATTTAGCTGCCAAATTTCACGTTCCTGGAGGTATTAGGCTAGGCCCTCCTCAAGCGCCCTCGCAAGGACGGAAGGTGCTTTGCAGATGCCTGGCCTCAGTTTCCTTCCCAACTAGGGTGACCAGATGTCCCGGTTATATAGGGACAGTCCCAATATTTGGGGCTGTCTCTTATATAGGCGCCTATTACCTCCCACCCCCTGTCCCAGTTTTTCACACTTGCTCTTTGGTCACCCTACTACCAACACTCCTCCAACACTCTCTTGGACTGAGAATACCCTCGTCATGGAGTAATTTATCATTATACATGTCTCAAAGGCATATAGCAAGTCCCATATCGTAACTCCAAATACCTCTGGCTCTACTGCCTTTTGTCACCCTCTTCTCCCTCAGTCCCCAATCTCCCTTTAAGGGGAGATATCCTGGGCTTGTCCCTATCATCCCCTAATGGAGTTCAAAGACTCAAACAAAGCAACACTGCAAACAACAGCCACTCACCCTGGGGTTAGGGAAGGGCTTACACCCCATCTGGGTTCTTTCCTTGCTCTGTGTATGGACTGAAACCACAGGGCCCTCTAGGCCTTCCTTCACCCCAGCACTCACAGAGATTGGCAGGTAATGTCCCCACTACTGCTCTGCAGACCCTTGGCTTCCTTCAGCCTCTGTTCTCTCCCTCTTCCCTGCCCCTCCTTATACAGGACAATGGCCACAGGAGCACTCCCTGGGCTCTGGAGTTCCTACCACCCAGGACCCCCTACTTCTGGCCTGTCTCTCTCTTCTCCCTGGCTCTCAAGCCTCCTTATATGTCTTCTGACTCCAGGTGCTACCCTGCCCTCTAATCAGCCCTAGCCAGGGCACACCTATTTAGTCACAGGACTGAGGCCCTCTCCCTTAACGGGGCTCATGCTATGGTGTGAATTCCATTAAAGGGGCCAGTTCAATTGGTGGTATAGTCAAGCACAGAGCTGCCTTCCAACCAGTTGATCTGAGTTTGATTCCTCACCAATGCAGCAGTGTGGCTTTACCAAGGGTCATGGTGGATTCTCCATCACTGACCATTTTTACATCAAGACTGGATGATTTTCTAATGGATCTGCTCTAGGAATTATTTTGGGGAAGGTCTCTGGCCTGGGTTATACAGAAGGTCAGACTAGATGACCACAATGGTCCCTTGTGGCTTTCGAATCTCTATGAATCTATGAAAAACCCTGTGACTCTGGTTCACAGCATGGGGGCACTAGAGCTTTGTAACTAAACATTTGTACATGTTTTTAAACATGGGGGGAGGGGGGGGTGGAATCAGATTATTCCCTCAACTTGGTTTTGGAAACGGCGGAACCATTTTTGCAGAAACTTAAAAAAAAAAATTCTTTATGAGGCAGACAGATGACATGGACTATTTTAACCCAAATGGTTAAGTTTGGCAAATTTTGAAGCAACTGAAAACAGGATCTTATAATGGAAACTGTTACGCTAGCTTAAGTATAGATGGCTCTATCAGCTGGACCTATGACACAAGTGATGGTGTTATTATCTTATCTGCAAATGCTGTGGAGTGAACCATGCTTGCCAGGAAAAGAAGCCGCGGAGTCAGGCTTCTCAAATACCTGCTGTGTGTGAAATAAAGAGGCAGTAAGGTTGTCAAACTCTTTGGATCGCCCAGCTTCAAGTGCCCCTACTGGCAGCTGAGTGCAACAAGAAAATGGCAAATTCAAGGGTGTCCTTAACTGCTTACGGACAAATCAAAAGCACAAGCCTGGGACATTAACATGCTAGCTACCATGTCCCATCCCAAATCTGAGCAAAGTTAAGAAATTAAAGCTGTAGGGAGAACAATGTGGCTCATGGGGCAGGGAATCTAGATCCACTTCATTCTAAATGGGAACATGGCATGACTGTGAGCCTTTTAATGAGAAGTTTTGCTAAATGAAACAAAATGAAATAGGTTTAATCACATTGATTCATGTTTATGGAATGGGAAGTGACCTGTTTCAGGTCATCTCATACACTTGATGGTTGGGTGATTTCAGTGCATTTGGTGTACCCTTGCGTGTGCACAATTAACTCTTTAAAAACACTAGCAATGACATGTTGACCCAACGGCCTGCTCCCAAGCCACAACATCTGAGAGGCTAAGGCCTCGTCTACACTAGAAAAGGGTTGGTGGCATTGCTATACCAAACTTTCCTAGTGTAGATTCAGCTTATAGAGCAAAAGAGTGATGGTATAAGGAAGAAAACCCGGTGTCCTATGAGTCTGTCTCCTGCTCTCATCCTGGGAAACACTTCTATTAGTTACTTTGCTTCAAATAAATGGAGTATAAATAAGCTGATGAAGTCAAGATCCAGCTGAGATGAGTCCAATCAGATGGCACTGGAATGGTGAACCACAACCCATTTCTGTCTCTTCACCTGTAGGATACCTGACGGATAAAGATCTCCTGGAGTTTCTTATCCGGTGTCAAAATGGCTTGAAGGATAATGGCATTGTCATTCTCAAGGACAATGTGGCCCGGGAAGGCTGTATCATGGACCCATTGGACAGCAGCGTGATCCGAGATCTGAGCATCCTCCAGAGCCTCGTTGAGAAAAGTGGATTCACCATCCTGCAGCAGGAGAGGCAGGAGGGCTTCCCTGAGCAGTGTGTCCCCGTCTGGATGTTGGCCATGCAGAAGGACCCTGGCCTACCCTGAAAGGGGTTGTGTGTGGATATGAAGCCCCTGAAACATGACTGATGCTCAGGACTTGCGATGAGAGGAAGAAGAGAAAATGTCTGCTAAAATCCCACTATTAGTGTAGCTCTACAGAGCTACAGGGCTCTGCCCCCCCGAATGATCATGAGAGTAACTACACCTGAACCAGGGCATGCCAGGAACTACCCTGTTCCCAAAACCAGGCTGCCTCGTCTTCACATCTTCTACTAATAGGCCTCCTCTCTGTGAGATTTCTATTTTGTTAAAGGGATAAAACTCATCTGTGAGAAAATAATTAGGCTAAAGCTTTCCAAAGTGACATGAGAGTCTCAGATTTTGGGTGCCGCATTTGAGACGCCATAATGAAGCCTGTTTTTTTCAGAGGCTGGATGCTCAGCTCTTCCTGGAAATCAGGGCCCCTTTAGAAGATTCAAGTTGGACATATACATTACTTCTCTTCTGAAAATCTCAGTTTAACTTCATATCTGTGTGGCTAATAATACCATAGATTATTGGAACTGAAAATGTCAGGAGTGTCTAATCTATTTACTGTCAGTAATGCTGTTTGTTTATTTATTTATTTATTTTTGCATTTCACTCAGTTTGGATGGTGAAACTAATCTGGTCAATTTCATATTTTTAAGTCAATTTCACTTCCTTCTTCCCCTGCCCTAGAAGGATGCTGTTATATTAGGATTCTCAACACTTCTGGGGAAAGTGTCAATGACAAAGATCTACATTGTAAAAAGCTGTTCGCACTGAAAACTTTGCAAAATGGTTTCTATGTGTATTAAGTTGCGGAAAACATTTGTTCTAAAACCAAAAGCTACATTCACAGCAGAAACTGCTTGGGTTACATACAACCATGAGGTCCTTTCTTTCCCACTGTTGCGGGTTTCACTGAGAGGCCAGCAGGCCTAGTGGGCAGGTCATGGCCTGTCAATTTCTCAGTGCCCCCAAAGTTCACCCACATGTACTGGGTTGGTATGTAGCGGGACCCAGCCCACCATCTCCATCAGGTCCCAGCCCAGGGCCCATGGGGGAGAGGTGTGGAACATGTTGGTCACCTCCCTGCTCTCTGTCTGGTTTGGCGTGTAGGCACAGACCACTTTCTCCCCAGTGGGGGTTCCCAGTCAGTGAAGTAAGCATTTTGCAGCTGTCTTGGTAGTGTCCAATTATTCTCCCTCTGCAGAGAGTGGGTGAAGCCTCTACCCTCCTGGTTGAGTCTAAGCCACAGTCCAGTCCCTCTCCCGTGGATCACTTTGTCCCTAGAAGCTTCAAATTTTCTTCCTCCCTTTGAACAGCCTCCCTGCTTGACTATCTGAGTCCCCTTTTGAGCAGGGACAGGGTCCACTTGGCCCAGTACTGCTCCATCAGTCTCTGTGGGAGGGTGTCTCTAAATCCCATCACACCCATATTCAAAACAAGTCTGACATGATATGCAGGGCTAATGGCATTTCAAGGGGTGTTAACAGTGAGGCTAAGGGATATTACTAGTACAATATTGAATTAATTAACTGTACTAAGCTACGGAGGATGTTACTTTAACCCAAAGGCATCTATGATTTATATTTAAACAGCTTGGGTTTGACATTACTAGTAATCATATATCCCCTCGCCTCTGTGCTATCCAGAGATTATACACAGAATAGCTTCTTGTTTCACTTACACATGCACAAGGAGAGCTGGAGAAGTTCCAGTTCATGAAGGATTTTGAATTTTCAAAATTTGGCTTCATTACGAATTGGAGTGAAAACTGAACATTTCAAAATTCTCTGCAAAAGAAAATGCCTGGGAGAAAATAATTTGGTGCAGGTTGATCAAAACATTTCATTTTGACATAACATTTTGTTTTGATTTTGACTTTTATTATGATAGTGAATATAAAAATTTCAAAGTGCAAAGTCATTTCAAAAAGAAAAATCAAAAATTTTGTTTACCTGGTTTTCTTCCAAAATGAAATTCCAGCAAAATCAGCCTGATTTCATGAAGTGTTTCAATTTTGATGGCACTGCATTGTCCGACAGACTGTGGGGTCTCTGTCAAATATTATCAAAAGTCAGATTAACCCCATATAGTGCTCTGGAGCCAGCGGGTTTAGCAAAACTCCTTTGGGTGTGTGTCTGTTCAGTTGTATTTTTAAGGAAAAGCACCTTGTGTCATTCTTCCATAATAACCCCCCCAGATCTTATTTAATTGCATAACTCAACGGTTCTAGAAATATAATCACCTTTGTGTGTGAAGTCATCTGTTTGTACAAGATGGCTTCTTACATTAGTCCTTAAACTGTAGTTGTGTGCTCTGTGCCCTCCTGCTATTTCTGGCATTAAGGGACACACAGCCCTGGTGCTTCGGTGAACATTCTGGAATATCATATGACACAACTGCTTGTAGATCACTTGGCGCTTCTAGATCACAGTGCCACATGACACAGCTGCTTCTAGAATGTGTTGGTAAAATTCTTCCATTTTAGTAATTTGGTGGCAGAAGATTAAATTAGAGAAGTAGAGAATGTTTTAGAAAAACAGAGTTGAATAGTCAAAGTCTGGAAATTTTGCCCTGAGAGCTAAGAGGGTCTTAGTGATCTTTTCATTCTCACGAGACTGCTAACAAATGCACCACCTGTGGTAGTGGTTGGTTAGACATAGAGATATATGTAGCATCCTCACTGTTCTCCATCAGGTGATGGTCCCTATGTGTATGCCACTATGGGTGAGCATGGACTCCATGTGCCTGCGACTGGAAAATTTTTACTAGCTGTGTTCAGTGTGTCCTGGGTCGCCTCATGTGCCAAGCCAAGGGCAAAAGGTGAGGCACTAATCACCTGCCTCTCCAGTTCCTTCTACTGATCATGGCAGCTTTGCTAGTGTTCCCACTTAGATTCTAGCCTTTCCCATAAATAGTTTACCTTTAGGTAGTTTAGAAGCATTTTGGTGCCTGGGGGTGCTCCCCACTCTGTTACCTCCCCACCTCCATATGGGGTTCTTGGTAAGCCTAAAATCCCTGGCTTCAAATCCTCTGTGGACTGCCCCCAGGTCTACCCGGTGAGTGATCCTCACAACTCGTGCTTATATTGCCTTTGAGAATCTCACGTTCCCTCCAAGTGCAATGTTTGCTGTTTGTTTCTACCTCAAACTCGGCAGTGCTGAGAGCTCCGGCTCTAAAGGCACCTAATGGAGCTGCTGATGAGGCCCCAGTCTGACTGTGGGTCAACTGACCCCCTCTACATCAGCAGGAAGTACCTAGCAGTGCTCTTCCTGACAAGAAGCTCTTGAGCGCCAACTGTCAGAGACCAGGCCTAAGGACTAAGGAGGAGGGTAAAAACAAACATGCCTATAAGAAATGGGAGACATCCTCTTCCAAGGCCTCTGAAAAGAGGATTGCCTCCTTCCACCTTCTAAATCAGGTGACACTTTGCACACTGGGATGGGTGTGTCAGGACCAAAGGAGGAGCCTGGGTCCAAACCACCTGTACTGAGAGCCAAGAGCACCTGAAACATCCAGCTGTGGAAGGGGAGGGGCAGGCCCACATCAGCAAAAAAGAAAAGAGAACGATCACCGTCTGCGTCCACGGTACTGCACTACAGCGGGAAGGAGGACTCGGCGGTACCGACATTCACTGCCTGACCAAAACTGGCACTGTTGGCTCCATCAAAGATGCAGAAGTCCCACCCGCTCCCCACCAGCTAGACCTGGGTACACTGCCCTGGAGACCCTGGCTCTTTATTCAGAGTCGCTGAGAGTTGAGGAACTGGTGGTCCTTAGGGAGATACCCACACTGTTGGTGCACCGTTCACCAGTGCCACCCATCAGCCAAAGTATCACAAGGCATACGGCACCAACAGCTCCGCCAGTGGAATCTGAACTTAGGGTCATGCTCCATTTTGGGTCTGGGGTCTTCATCCCACCCCTTTTGTACCCCATGGGAGGGGTAAGGAGTGAGGTTGTGCTGCAGTCAAGGACCGGCATTTCTTTGGTCTTTTAGTGTTTTATACCTTCCCCCTGCCAAACCCCTTTGCCCCTCCTGACTGGTTGCTTGACTTTGGCTTGAGATAGGGGTTGAGGCAGTCTTAAAGTGTGCTCTCGAGTAACACTTTAACTGCTCTTATCTGTTCCCATTGTACTAACAAATCCAGCGGACTAGGCAGAAGCAACATCACAGTGTCTTTGTCCTTTGTTTACACATATTAGTATAAGAGTATCAAAAAGTCAAACCCAAAATTCTATCCCAGGCTAAGAAACAGACCTATATACTAACATAAAGTAAGACATTGTTATCTGTGAAATACATTTCTTATTGGTAAAAATGTCTTTTGTATATTTTGAACTTGATTTTTCTCTGAATTTCCAGAATACACACACAAACACACCCACTTCCAGATCTTCATAGAGATGTATTTTCCCAGTTAATCGAAATGACCAGATCTTAATGTCATAGAAAAGGGCACATTTCGTGATTCTCACATCCTCAGAAATTCATGTGTCATGGTTGTTTTGCTTCCACAGTAAAATATCAAGGATTCTCTGGTGACATAATGAACCACAAGAGCAGAGATTCAATAACATTTTAGCTTCCTTCTTTTCTAAGGTGTATTTTAATTAAAGCAGTTAGCTAATGTGTGCCACTCTCTAGGGCACCTAAAAAATCTTAATGATTTTGGGACAGAGAACATCTCTGTCAGAGGTTTGCACAACACCTAGCACAAAAGGCAGGGTCTCTTGGCTCTATCACACCAATAATAATTAATAATTAATAGTACCTTAATTTAAAATTGCAGCAGACCTTGCTTGGATAACCCTCTATGCAAGATCAATTGCTCTTTTGTGTTCAAAGGCTGATTCACAGACTTTTGTTACTCTTTCTCAACTCCTGTATTACTTAAGTTGTAAAACATTCATCTAGTGGTGTCATTGGCTTCACTGGGACTTCGAATCCTGTTTGCTTGATGCTCATTTAGGGCTAGATACTGCTCCATTGAAGTCAAGGAGAATTTTGTCCAGGAGCAAGCCTTAGACACAAATTCAAAAAAAGCGTCTCTATTCAGGTCCATGCTGAACAAGAAATTCTTTGTGAGTAATTCATTAGACAGGTTTAGCCTCTTTTCCTGCTTGCGAACCAGCCACAAAAAAAGCGTACGTTTCCTCAGTTTTATTCATTATTAAAAAGAATTTGCTACAGAACTTACGTGGATAATGCTTTGGTGTTGTTGGGGTCTTGACTTGATATTGGAAATTCAAAATCTGAAATGGGTGTTGATTAGTTTGGAATGCATATTTGTGTATAGTATCACATGAATGAGCATGAAGCTTAGAATGAAGTGTCCTAGGCAAATATTCACATATATAACATCAAAATTTGCTTTCTGTTAATATTCCCTAATGACATTTTTGGACCACTTCTGCCAGTATATTTCTTTGCTAGAATACAAACGGAAAGCAAACACAAAAGCGGTATATATGAAGCTAAGGCAAATTCAGTTTTTTTATTCAAGTGAATATTCCTGGCAAATGTTTAAATGATCATCCACCTCTAACTACTAAAAACCCCAAACAAAATAAAACCCTCTCAAAATAAAATATTACTATATCTACCTAATTCTCCCCCTGGACCAAGGAAGCTCAGAAGTTGTTAAAGTAACTTGTGAGACCAGTGGGTGAAAATGGCTGTTCTTTGTATTTTCAATGGAAATAAAAGCAATAATCTAGTCAATGCTTAATTTGTGCTGGGGTTTGCCAGGGCTCTAGGTTTGGCAGTTCATAGCCCTGGAACCTCTGGGTTTGCTGCCTCACTTATGAATGGAAAAAAAATTGCTTGAGCCCCTGCACCTCTTTCATTATAAATTAAGCACTGAAACTAGTATCAGAAAGATTACCAGTAAGAAATAATAAAAAGCCCAGATCTGACTAAAGTGGCACCACATACTAGACATGCTCAGCACATGGCCAGTGCTCAATAAATAAATAATTAACACTACTCTATTCCCTTTAGGTTCTTATACTGCCCTCCTCATTGTACATTAAGCACCTTCTAGTTGTACATTAACTGGTGTGAGTAGTATCTTGCCCCTAGTAAATGTCAAAATGCGATTGAGGGATAATAGATTGATCTAGAGAGAAGGTAAGGATGACTTCACCAGAAGTGATGTCACTAGCTACATCACAGGAAATGACGATGACATGAAAGTGACTATGTCACCGGATGTGCTGTTATGACCTCAACCCTGTCCTTCTGGGATCTGGTCCTTCCAGCCTCTGACTCCCAGTGGGAAGGCCCACCTTAGAGAGGGAAACCAATAGAATTTGGTGTTTGGCCCAGAACCTGTAACTCAGTCCCCAGTAAATAGTGCCACCCCTAAAAACGATAAAGAAACAACTAAAAGCATGAAAAAAAATCTAAAATGTAAAAACAAAGATGTGTGCAAAGAGACTTGTTAAAGAAAACAATAGATGTTTGTACATCTAAATGGTAACTAAAAACACCCTGATATGGTTGCCCACATGAATATCTGGACATGGGCTTGACCCAAACCCCTAGGACCTCCCCAAGGGTCACTTTCCCTAGGGAGGTAAACAATGGGATTTGGTAGATGGCCCAGAACCCCTATACCAGTGACTGGTAAGTAGCGCCCCCTCTAAAAATGGTAAAGAAACAAAGAGAAAAACATGAGAAAAGCTAAACTGTAAAAAGGTGTTTTAAAATACTTGCAAGCTCATGAAGATCATTCTAATCCTTTATAGTTAGGCATTGTTTTAAACTCTGAAGCATTAGGTTTTATAACCCCTTTAATTTTCTTGTTAGCATTAACTATTTTAACTCTGGATATTCTTGTTATCCATTAACTGTCCAGTCCTTCTTAGGATCTTGTTAAGTTCTTGGCATGAATGATGTCCTGTGACAGTGATTTCCACTGTCCAATTACACATTGTGAGAACATTTCTTTGAACCTAGTCATTATCTAAAGTAGTCCAACATCAAGCAACCAGCTAAGGCACTGATCTTGCAGCTTCCTGAATGTGGGAGGACTACCACGCACCTTCACAGTCTCCTTGATTTCAATAGGACTGCTCATGTGCTCCAACTTCCTCACATGCTTAGAAGTGTTTGCTGGATTGGGGCTGGGCTGGAGCTCTCAGCACCTCACAAGCAACCTTCATTCACTAACTCAAAAATGCACCCCACAAGCAATCAAAGGTGCAATCAACTAATCATCCAACCAGCTCTAGCAGCCAACAAACCACTCCTCAACTAATCAGAGTCAAAATGCATTAAAATTCACCTCTAAAGCATTTGGCAATGACTAGGTATTAGGTGCACTGTGATTGCTGCTTATTATATCAAATATGACACTCTTTTAGTTTATCTCCACCTGCTTTGTCCCATATGTTAAGACTGTACGTTCTTCAGGGACAAGGAGTGGACTGTCTTTTTATTATATGTCTGTAGAGGGTCTAGTACAGGGGTCTCTAGGCACTTCCGTAATACAACTAATAAACAATAAAACAACAGTTACAATTGTTATGACTGTTCCAAAAACAACCCAGCTGCACAGCTCCAGAGAACAATACTCAGCATTTCGGGCCTGCAGGAAGATCTGACATTCTGAAATTCCCTTGCATCCCTATTCAGAATGAAAAGTCTGAAATTTCAAAATTCACTGTGAAAAAACATTCTGAAATATTTTGTTTTGGAAGCCTTGATAGGACTGTAGCAAAATATTTCATTATGATTTTATCATTTAAACTTTTATATTAATATAACAATATAAGAATTCAACTATTTTGTACTATATTATACTATAAAATAATTGACTTACGATTATATTTGTTCTAATAATATAAAACAGTTGACTTATATTATATAGTTGGAAGGATAAAATCATAATTTCCTGCTGTAAATTTTGACAAAATGTTGCCGTTTACTCAAATCAGCATTTCCCAACAGAAAACTGTTCTGCTGGAAAATAATTGACCAGCTCTATTTGCAATCATTTTAGCAGTATTAGTTGTGAATGACACCCAGAAATACTATGTTATCATACAGGCGTCAAAGCCACCTAAGGGATTTGAATGCCAAATTCTCATTGGAAATTAATGCCTTGGTCCTTGGATATTACACTAATAGGGGCAATATAGCATTAGTAATATGAATCCCATTAGGGAGAGGCTTTGTAGCTTATCCTGCAACGCTTTTGTGTCTCCACTTTTCCACTTCCTTAATCCAGCTTTCTTGGAGCATTTTATATGGCATGTCAGACAGTAGGCCTGTCCAGAAGAACTTGACTGTTATATGTGATTAAAACCAGTTACGGTACTTCCCATTTCTGCTCTCTCCCTTTGATACTTCTGCAACCATGCCAAGGAAATACCTCCTCTGTTCGCCAGCACTGATTTGTTCTTCACTGGAATGCGGTGATGTCCAAGAAGGAAAACAGATCGCCTTTGATTTGAAGAGGAGGTAATTCTGTTTATCTGAGAGCAATAACAACACACTATATTTCAACTTGCAGGGCAATACTGTGTCTTTAAACTGATGTCAAGTGGGTGCTCTAAGACCCTTGGAGCAAAAAGCTCATAATACCCTAATAATAATAAATAACAACCCTTAGCACTTGTAGAGTACTTTTCAGCCACAGATCTTGAAGCATTTCACAAAAGTGGTTATTATTGCCACTTTGAGTGGGGAAATTGAGGCACACAAGTTCATGCCAACCATTTTAAACTTGGGATACATTAAATTTAGATTTCATTAGGAAGAGCAGGTGCTCAGCACCGCTGCAAATTAGACTACTTATTTAGTAAAGCTGGTGGAAGAAATACTAGCAGAAATATGCAAAAAAATGTTGGAAATGTTTTCTTTTTTCTCCCTATATTTGAAATTTTTCACATTGAAATTTTGAGACTGTTCTGGTGTTCCGGTGTTTTGGTAGCTAGATATGAAGGTAGGGCCAGATTTATAAAGGTACTTTGGTGCTGTCACCAGGGGCTGGCCCATTAAGGGGAGGCAGCGCTGAGCCTGCCTGTGACAGGTTCATGTGACAGGCTCCTGTAAGATAGAACAAGTCAACCCAGACCCACCTTGAAATAATAACTACATAAGAGCCTGATTGGTAGCTAGTTAGATAATGAAGAAGGGTTACCTGGACTCAGCCCGGTGTTTCCTTGAGACAGGAAGCTCCTGAGGAGAGGTGCTCCCAGGAGAGCTTACCAGAGCAAGGGGCTTAGAAGGTGTGATCCTTAGAGAGTGGAGATTCCTAAGGGAAGAGCTAGAGCTGTCAGGTCTCCAGAAAGGCCTGGTCCCGGAAAAGGGACTTCCCAGGTAGTGGCTGGAAGCCCAGCCTGTTGGGAACTACATATTGCCCTAGAGAAGAGCTGCAGTTGACAGACCTCCATGGACCCCTGGCTCTGAGGAAGGACTCTCTCCAGGTGGCAGCAAGGTGCCTATCTCTAGGGAAGAGGTCCAAGTCGAAAGACTCCTGCTGGTAAAGGGCCTGACTGGAGGGGAGTGGTGGACTCGGGTGGGAAGAAATAAACTAAGACTGACTCTGTCTCTCACCTAACACGCTGGGGTGAAGGTTTGCTTATATACTTAAAGGGCATCAACAGGTGTAGACTTCTTAGAATGGGTGCTGTTCCCTATGTAAAGACTCATTGATCTTATTGACAGCACATTAGGGGAAATTGAGGCAGGGAGTGCTGCAGTGCCACACTTGCCCAGCAGGAGGTGATACAAGTCATGTAACTTTTGTGACAGGTCCCTAAAGCTGCAGATCAGCACCTAGTGGGACTTTCCAAAATGCCTAGGCCCATGGAATTAGGTGCTTTTTTTTCAAGCTTTTCTTCACAGCCATGAGGGCTAGAAACTTACTTTTTGTCCCCCCCCCCCCAGTGAAAGCTGAGTTTCTCACATAGTCACATGACTCCAGGAGTCTCCACCAGGCGCAGGGCCTGAGTGTGCCAGGTGCTGCACAGACATAGAATGGAAGACACTCCCTTTCCTGAAGATCTTATGATCTAAAGAACAAAGCAGACAAACACAAATAGGCAGCAAATAAGTCATTTTCAGAAACCCAGGACCAACCATTTACAAACTCTCCCAGTCCCAACTTTCTGCTCCAGTAACATCCCTTC